CTTTTTTTTTTTTTTTTTTTTACATCAGTTAGCCAGTGTTCAATAAATTCCTTTTCCCAGCTGGTTTAAGTCAGGATTCAGATAGTCTACACTTTGTATTTCAGAAACATATTTTCATTAAAAGAAAAAAAAAAACTATAATAGTTCCTTTTTCGTTTTTCCTCCTTGCTATTTATTGAGAAGTTATATACATTATCTTCAAGAATTTTCCATTTTGGGCTGAGGATTTAGCTCACCGGTACTGCGCCTGCCTGGCAAGTGCAAAGTCCTGAGTTCAATTTCCGGTACCAAAAAAAAAAAAAAGAATTTCCCATTTTCTTGATTTTGCTGATTATTTGCAGCATTTAACATGTTCCTCCATCCCTCATATTTCCTGGTTGTTAAATTTAGAAGCCTGATAAGATTCAGGGATATTCAGTTGGTGTGCTATGTATTTCTTAATATGCTACATCAGGGAGTATTTCATGATTGATGTGTGTGTGTGTGTGTGTGTGTGTGTGTGTGTGTGTGCGTGTGCGTGTGTAAGATTGTTCAGTGAATTCAGTCCAGTCAGTTCTTGTGTAGTCAATTTAAAAGAACTGGAGTAAATTTGTGCTTATCCTGTTAAATGTCATCTTATTTAATTTAGCCCATCATTCCATCGTTTGGATACCATATCTGCCACCAATGTCTACTTCTCAGATTCATATCATCTGAAAATTTGCTAAGCCTGTTAACCTTGTATTCATCTAAATCAACATAAAAATGTTGAACAGGATAGAGCTGAGGACAGAGCCCTGTGGCATGCTACTAAAGACTTTCCTCCAGACTGACATGGATCAAGCATTTTTGGGGTATGGTTACTTAACCAGTTCTGAATCCACTTAGTTATACCTTGAGACAATCCATCATTCCTCATGTTCTTGCCAGAAATATCATTAAAGAGACAGAAGCATCTAGTATGCGTTTAGAAAGATGAGATTAAGAGAGATGAGGGCTGGCAAGAACAATTTTGAAGCAGTCCACATCAGAGGTGTCCTCACCTGGCCACAACAGAATCTCCTGGGAAGCTTGATGGAGTATTCTTAGCTTTACCTCCCAGAGATTCACATTCTGCAGTATGAAGTAGGACTAAGAATCCATGTTCTTATTAAGTCTCCCAGGTGATTCAAATGCAGCTAGTCTGATGGTGGTGTCCAGGAACCACAGATCATGACATTGGGATAGTTGAAGCCATGGAGAGCCTCTCTGGGGAGAGCCTCTAGAGGAGAGAGAGGATGGCCAAGGATAACACACAGGGATGTACATGGATAGAAGGGGAAGGGAGTCATCAAAGAAGCATTTGGAGATGGTGTCTCGGCATGGATGCTGCATAGAAGCCATGTTGGTCCTTAGGCAGAGGCCATAGAACTGGTAACCAGAGAGAAAGCAGCTGTGGACTGGTTCATCCTGGATTGCATTGCTGTTATTTAAGGAAGAACTGAGTGTGAAGTAAAGTCAGAATCAACTAATAAATGGCAATAAAAAGAAGGCAGAGGCATGAGTGGAAAGGCATTCTCCAAGGGGGCAAGGGCAGAAGCTTTCTTGGAAGCAGAGAGGAAGTTATAAGGGAAGAATTGAAGATACAGGAGAGTAGAGAAATTAGGGCAAGGAGGGAATTGATGGAGCCAGGAAGAAGTAAATATAAGAAAACCAAGGCCAGGGCTGAGCCTTGATGTACCCCTTTTCCCCTAGGAGAGAGGGTACCTTGGTGTGCATAGGTAGAGGCAGGCAGTTGGGAAACATGCAGGAAGCTCTTAGAACTGGTCCAGGGAAGCAAAAATATGAGGGATACAAAAGGAGCCAGACTGTGGATGTGAGGTATACAGGTGATTTGGAATACTCTTGGCAGTATTTGGGGAAATTATCTACCACTGTATAATGAAAAGATTGCTTAGCTGCCAAGGACAAGGACAGAAGCAGCCAGGATGAGTACACAGTGGGCTTGATCTTTATGAGAAGCAGTGCAGAGCATATGAAGAGGGTGGCTCTGAAGTACCCAGGTCACTGTTGGATCAAGAGTGTCCAGGGTGTCGAGGGGCATAGTTATAAAAGTCCAAAGCCTACATAGTATCATGGTGGTTATCTTAGAAATGGCTAGATGGACAGGCCAGCCTGAGAGGGCTCCTATGTGGCCAGATAGGTGGGTTGGGTGTGTGGGCTACACTCAGATAAGTAGGGGTACAAAGAAGGAAATGGCTCCCATGGTTTCCTAGTGGCCACAAAGGACAAAACACAGAGTCTCCTACCTCTCTTTCCTTACATCAGAGAGAACTGGGGGAAAAGGCCAGCAGGGGATGGGAAAAGTAGAGTTTAGGGGAATAAATTTTAGGGTAAAGAGAAGGTTTTCTTTAGTGAAATAAGAATACTGAGTATCTGGCTGGATTCCTTTTTTTTTTTTTTTTTTTTTTTT